ATGGGGGAGAAGGTGGGCATGGGGGAGAAGGTGGGGATGGGGGAGGTGTGGATGGGGGAGAGGGTGGGCATCGGGCAGAAGGTGGGCATGGGGGAGAAGGTGGGCATTGGGGCAAAGTGTGGAGGGGGCAGAAGGTGGGCATTGGGGAAAAGGTGGGCATGGGGGAGAAGATGAGCACTGCGGAGAAGGTGTGGATGGGGAGAAGGTGGGGATGGAAGGTAAAGTATCGATTGCCGAGGGTGCTGTGGATCCAGATGTGAGCGGTGAAGAGGGCAGGTGAGGGTTGGGGGACACTGAATGGGCAAGCAGGATTGGAGCTCACTGACCATGTCGTCCCTGTCCCCCCACCTCCTCCAGGTACATGGTTCGGGTCCGAGCCGTGGTGATGGCCCGAGATGACTCCAGTGGGGGCTGGCTGCCTGTGGGGGGCGGGGGCCTCAGCCAGGTGAGCGTATGTCGGGTCCGAGGGGCCAGGCCCGAGGGGGGGACCTGCCAGGGGCACTACGTCATCCACGGGGAGCGCCTCCGGGACCAGAAAGTGAGCCACCTGGGCGTGGGGGTTGGTGGGGCGTGGGGAAGTAGGGAATGGGGCTGGGAGTGCAGCGATGAGGTCAGATCTTCTCCCAGCCTGGACCCCACCCGGGGAGTGGGAAGGAGTTGGGAAGTGAATCTCTGCCCTGTGGATAAGAGTTGGGAGTCTGGGGTATTAAGCAGGTCCCGTCCACTGCTGTCACCTGCTGGACTGTCACAGCGGCCTCCTCACTGGTCTTCTTGCCCTGCTTCTGCCCCCCCCCAGTCTGTTCCACAGGGGCCCCGCTAACACCTGACTCAGATCATATCCCTCCTCTGCTCAGAACTCTCCCGTGGCTCCATCTTGCTCAGAGATGCTCACCACGAGGCCCCTGTCTGCCCTAAGTATATGGAGGCATTTGGTGGGGGACCAACTGGAAGTGTCAAATAGGGTTTACAGTCCTATATGTGGGTTCAGCAGGAATATTCTGGGCTGTCTGGCACGATTTGGAAGGACAAAGTTGAAGCTTCAGCTGGGGATGTAGTAGAAAGATGTGGATTGTCTGGAAAGGCTTGGGAGAAGGGTTGCATCTCAGAGCAGGAGTCAGCAGGAACCAGGTCGGGGATTGGAAATGGTGTGAAGGAATTCCGTGATGTTGGGCAAGGATCCGAGGGCACAGTGGGGGTCCTGACCAGCATCTGAGGCAAAATCTGTGGGAGTTTGATAAGAACTTTTGGGGTAGTGTTTTGGGAGATTATTGGGGTATCAGAAGGGGATTAACAATAATATTTTGAGATGTTCAGTAAAGTTTGGGGGTACTATTGAGTCAGAAGGGGGGATATTGGGTTATCAGAAGGGGGTAACTAATTTTTGAAGATAGTCAATAAGCTTTGAGATTCCTATTGGGAATGTCAGAGGGAGATATTGGAAAATGGCGGGATCACGGGGTTTGGGAGAAATACTGGAGTATCAGAGATGTGTTCAATGAAACTGGGGAGAGGTATTAGGGTGTTGATCAGGCTTCAGGGGTACACCTAGGAGAAATGAGGTTCATAGGATAGTGGGGGTATGCAGAGAGGCTGGGGGTTAAGGGGAAGTCACAGCATGGCTGGATGGGGGGTCTGATCTGGCCCCTTCCCGCCCCTCAGACCACCTTGGAGTGTACCCTGAGGCCAGGCTTGGTTTACAACAAGGTGAACCCCATCTTCCATCACTGGAGCCTTGGCGACTGCAAGTTCGGGCTGACGTTCCAGAGTCCCGCAGAGGCTGATGAGTTCCAGAAGAGTCTGCTGGCCGCGCTGGCCGCGCTGGGTCGAGGTGAGTGTCGGAGGTGGTGGCCACTGGGGGCTGGGGTGGAGAGGTGGGAGAAGCTGGGGCCCAGGGAACTCACTCTCTGCCTCTCTCCCTGCCCCAGGCTCGCTCACCCCCTCCTCTTCCTCCTCCTCCTCCTCGCCTTCCCAGGACACCGCAGAGACTCCCTGCCCTCTGACGGTGAGTCTCCGGGACGCAGCTCTGCTGGGAGGGCAGGGGTGTATTTCTCTTGCACGAACATTCTTGAGCACCTACTGTGTATCAGGCACCAGGCCACGTGCTGGGGACACAAATTTGGGCCCAAACTCTTAGTGTCAATTCAATCCCAGTGATTCTAGTTTTTCTGTTCTATCACGATCAAACACATTCACACGTTCATTCAAGGATACTTATCGAGCACGGTCCACACGTAGTGTTTTAGGCACTGGGGAGACATCAGTATCAAAACAAAGTCGCTTTCTCATGGAGCTTCTGTGCTGGTGTGGAAAGGCAGGGAAAAAAAGATAAACTATAAAAATGAATAAATATGGAAAGTAAATGGAGGAGCAAATTAGTGACAAGTCGATCCTTCTAGTTACCCAGGGTGCAGACCCTGGAGGCATCCATGACTCCTCTCCTTTTTTGTGCCCCTCATTTATTCTGTCAGCAAATATTGGCTCCACTTTCAAAATGATCAGAATCTGCCTCTCACCTGGTACTGTCCAACCTCATCTCCCAACTGGACCATCTCACCAGCTTCTGATTGTCCCCTGCCCCCATCCTGTGTCCTCCTGTCTGTTCCTCACACACAGCCAGAGGGGTCCTAGTGACACTGAAGTCAGCTCATGGTCATCTCCCACTCAGAACCGTCGCAGGGCTCCATCTCACAGAGGGTGAGGGACAGAATCCTTACAGTGGCGCATAAGATCCCCACCATCTGGCCTGCTGTTACTGCCCCTCTTGCTCACTCTGCTTCAGCCACAGGGGCCTCCTCAAAGGGCAGGCACATTCCTGTCGCAGGGCTTTTGCACCAGCTGGTCCTTCTCTCTTGGCACACTCTTCCCCAAATTTCCACCTGGCTCATTCCCTTATTTCCTTCAAGGCTTTCCACACACATCACCTTCTCCCTGAGGCCCTCCCTGAGTAACTTGTTTAAAATTGCAATCTCCCAATGCTCCTTATCCTCTTCTAATTTGTTCCCATCTTCTAAGATAATTTCCTTTCCCAGTAGACACTTTTCTTATCTATCAGTTTCCTGTCCCTCTCCCAGGCTAGAATGTCAGCTCCAGGAGGGCAAGGATCTTTTGTTGCTTTCCTGCTGCATCTCCCATGCCTAAAACAGTGTCTGGGATACACTAGATGTTCAGCAATTATGTATTGAATAAATTTATTGAATGAATTAATGAATGCACATAATGTTGGATGCAAGTTGGCTCTTGCTGGGAACAGTGGGATTTGGTGAAAACAGTTGGACGAACAAGACTGGGTCCCTGGGCAGAAAGGTGGGCATCGCAGGGTAATGGAGATGCAGGTGGGAGCTATGAAAGTCTCGCGGACCATTCCCACTCACTGAGGTCTGTCCCCGCTCCATCTCACATCCTCACAACGGCCTTTGTGCGCTGGCACGTCGTGGGTGCTCAACGGATGTTTACTGAAGACAGTAAACGGATGAGTTAGGAGTGACCCCCAAGTTATAGAAAGGAAACCGAGGGTTCTCAGAAGTGATGTTTCAGCTTATAATGGACACAGCTTGGTTTGGATGGGAAGGAGCCCATCCCAGGTGGGTGGAACTGGCCCAGCAAAGGTGTGGTGGTGGGAGGGAGGAGGAAGGCAGCTGACTGGCCAAGGGAGAGGGGTTCTGAGACGGGAGAAGGATGATTCGATGTTCTGTAGGTTGGTGAGCTAAGCAGATAAGAAGAGGGGGTCAAATAATAATAATAACCCCTTGCAGCTCTTCCTGCACCTCAGGCATCTGCTGTGCCCGTTACAGTGGGCCCTAACCACATCCTTATGAATAGACACTACTAGGATCCCCATTTTACAGACGAGGAAACTGAGGCTCAAAGAGATGAGCTCACTTGCCAGAGGTCACAGAGTCAGTGGCAGAGCCGCTGCAGAGCCCTTGCTCGAAATGGGAGGGGGTCTATGTGAGGGCGTCGGCTGTGCGGGGTGCGGGTGGGGAGGTCCGGCTCTGAGGTCGCCAATCTCCCCCAGTCCCACGTGGACAGCGACTCCTCCTCCAGCCACAGCCGCCAGGAGACGCCTCCCACCACCGCGGCGGCCTCCATCGCCACCGTGGAGTCAGCTTCTGGCTTTGGGCCGGCCACGCCCCCCCAGCGCCGCCGCTCCTCCGCTCAGGTGCAACCTCCCACCCCCCGCGGAAGTCTGGGTGCAGTGGGGCCGGGCGCTGGGGTCCCGAAGCGAAGCGGGTGGGAGCTGAGGCCGCAGAAGGGCGAGAGACCACACACACATCCTAGGGGATGGCTGACCTGACATGGCGGGGGAGCTTGGAGGCCTGGGTTCCTCGGAGGGTTGGGTGATGGCTTCCCGTGTCTCCTGTGCTCTTGGAGATTTCAGAAAGTTCTGAATTGCAGAGGGGTTTGGGGGACGACTTGGCCACTGAATCCTTCAAGTATGTTAGGGGGTTGCTGGTACTCATGGAAGGAGTGCTTTAGACTGCTTAATTCACAAGGGGGTGGGGCTCGGTATCCAAGGGGTAAGAGGCACCTGGGGACCGGACTCCTGCGTCCTGAGGGAGGAGGTGGCTGGGGTGCAGAACTGCTGGATCTGAGAGTAGTGGGGGCTGGGGGCTGGGACTCCTGGATCTTGAGAGAGCACAGGACTGGGAGCCGGGGGCACCGGGGCCTTAAGGTGTGGGCTTGGTGCTGGATTCTTCTGTCTGTCCCTAGATTTCATCTGTCCCTGGGAGAGGCGCGGGCCGGGGGCCTGGAAGTCTGAGAGCCAGACTTAGACACTCAGGATCCTAGGATGAATGAGGCCTGTGACTCGGTCTTAGGACTCTCGGGTCTTCTGAGACTGGGATGGATTGTGGTGGGGTGTGGGGGATCAAAGACCCCGCTAACCTGTTCTCCTGTCCCTTCGTCCCGCAGAGCTACCCACCGCTCCTACCGTTCACGGGGATTCCGGAGCCCTCAGAGCCCCTGGGCGGAGCAGGGGGCCCGGGCTGGGGCGGCCGCGGCTATGAGGATTACCGGAGCGCCGGGCCGCCCGCGCCCCTCGCCCTGTCCACCTGCGTCGTGCGCTTCGCCAAGACCGGCGCTTTGCGGGGCGCAGCCCTGGGGCCCCCCGCGGCACTACCCGCCCCTCTCACCGAGGCTGCGCCCCCAGCGCCCCCGGCTCGCCCACCCCCGGGCCCCGGCCTGGCCCCTGCGCCGGCCAAGGCCTCCCCGGAGGCGGAGGAGGCGGCGCGCTGCGTGCACTGCCGTGCGCTCTTCCGCCGCCGCGCTGATGGGCGAGGCGGCCGCTGCGCGGAGGCCCCGGACCCGGGTCGCGTGCTGGTGCGCCGGCTCAGCTGCCTGTGGTGCGCCGAGAGCTTGCTCTACCACTGCCTGTCGGACGCCGAGGGCGACTTCTCGGACCCGTGCGCCTGCGAGCCAGGCCACCCGCGCCCCGCCGCGCGCTGGGCCGCGCTGGCCGCGCTCTCCCTCGCCGTGCCCTGCCTCTGCTGCTACGCGCCCCTGCGCGCATGCCACTGGGTCGCGGCGCGATGCGGCTGCGCAGGCTGCGGGGGTCGCCACGAGGAGGCGGCGCGGTGAGGACGGCCTGGTGGGTCCCATAGCCGGATCGAGGACCCAAAATAGAGGGTCCAGGACCCCGGACTCCATTTGGACCCAAAACCCAAACCTAGGCACACTCGGAACTTGGAGCTTGAGTTTGGATTGAGAGACCCCAGACCTGGAACCTGGACGCCAAATCTAGGACTGAGATACCGGAGACCCAGCTTCATTGGGATGTCTGTGCAAGAGGTTCCAGGCATCCTGAGTTCTGGCGTCCCCATACCCCCCTTGCCCCGCCTCGACACCGCCCCGACCGAGACTGAGGAGACTCCAGGCAACCTCAGACTCTACACCTCAGGCAGGCCGGGAAGCACACGGGTCCCTGAGAGAGAGAGGGCCCTGAACCCAGTCATGCCTGGCACCACGACCCCTCAGATTACAGCCCCAGAATTAGTCAGGAGTTGCCAATATCTGACCCTGCCTGTATACAATTACTCCCAGACCTTGAGACCACAGGGCCCAGAATTACCCCAAATGGTCCCTGAATGCTCACCTGAAACCTGGGGTGCCTGTATCTGAGGTGTTCTTGTAGCCCCAGGACCCCTGAGACACCAAACCCTCTTAAGATGCCCTGAGTCCTTGGAGATGCTCAAACAAATGTTCTCTGACCAAAATAACTTGGGAGACCCGTTTCAGAGTGCCCCCCACTCCCCGGATCCACATGTCAGACTCCTAAGATGCTCTGGGAGTCAGGGATCAAAGACCTCTGTAGACCCACCCATCGCAAGCCAGTGTTCCCAGGAGCTCTGGACCTCGTATATAGGACTCTGAGGTGCCTAGTACCCCCAGATGTAGGACTGAAGGCCACCAACACCTCAGGGCCCAAGACACTGGTCCCAAGTCCTCAGATAGCTCTCTTCCAATCCCCCTTGGACTTGGATTTCAAGCCCCAGAATGTCCTGGAATCTTTGGCTTCTTTGTACCCACAGATCCCCAATCCCCTAAAGGCTGGGAGCTTCACTCCCAGAAGATGGGATGTTCATGGCAACCCAGACCTCTGTCCCCTTGGCCCCCAGCCCCTGAGTGATCCCAAGGTGCTTTAGGAGCACTGGATCCATGACCCCAAAGTGCCATTGACCCCCAAATTCAGGGCTTAAGCCTGTACAACACTGGAATTGTCCCCTGACACAAGACCTTGGTCCCTCTGTGTCAGAAATGGTCAGATCTAAGGTGCCCCAGGACCCTAGCACCTTCAGATCCCAGATTTCTTTGGACTCAGATGGCTCTAGCCTGGTACTCCCTTTGAGACCTGAGACCCCAACGTCCCAGACTCTGGAATCCTAGTCCCAGGGGCCCCAGCCCAAGCCCCCATCATCCCACAGAACTACTCCTTTACCCTAGGGGAAAAAGCCCCACCATTCTGAGCTCATGTTCCTGGATTCCAGGACCAGCCAGGAGCTCCCCTGCTCCCATCTCTGGGAACCAACCATGGATGATTGTGCAGGCTGTTCACTGAGCAAAGGCACAGGGCCAAAGTGGTGAGTGGGGCTGGAACTCACACCACACTCTGCTGGCCACACTGCCCTCAGAGGGAGGTGTGCTTTTTTTCTAAGTTGCACAAAGGCACCTTGGGGCTAGGTACACACACACACACACACACACACACACACACACACACCACACACACACACACTCTCACTCTCTCCCCAACCTTGTAGATTCTGCCCCACGCCCAACCTGGAACCCTCGCCCTAGTCCAAGGTTTTTATGTCCTGCCCTCTGTTCACTCCTCCTCTTCCATCTCAGAGTTGAGGGTTGCTTGGGAGCATTTGAAAGCCTGTTTCAAGGCCCTCTGAGACCCCTCTTCTGGGGAAGGGGTGATGCCACAGTCCCTTTCCTCTGAATGGAATGGGACTCCAGGGTACCTCAGATCCGATGGCCTGAATGGGGGCACCGAGGTCTTGAAGCAAGGCAATCTCAATGTTGTGTGGACCTGGGACCCGCAACTGGTCCCTAGCATCCGGAAATGTGCACTTATCTTTCTTCATTACCCAGAAAACTGGATGGCCTTGTGGGGGTTCAGGGGATAGGTCAAGGGGTCAGAGGGATAGAGCCTTCTGTCACTTCCTTTAAATTATTAACTATTTATTACATCCGGAACCTGTGAGACTCAGCTCTCCCAACCAGACCCTGGGATGGGTGAGAGAAAAGGGGGGTGTCCCTCCCACCCCCACTCTGCCCAGCTCTCATCACTGTCAGAACCACCAGAGCTGAGGGCGGAGGGACTGGGGGCTGGGGCAGCCTGGGTCCCCATCCCCCTCTCTGTGCCTCGGTCTCCTCCCTTCCGTGGTGGGCGGGGGGAAGCTCCATTCTTAACCTACCTCGTTTTGGGGAGGGGTGGGACAGGGGACCAGAGTGCTGTACGGTGCTGTGGGATCTTCGGATGAAGCGGTGGGGGCTGGGGGAAGGTTCCCCGCCCCCCCTCCCAGCACCGCCTCTCCCAGGGCTCCCAGTCCTGCTCCCTGCTGATACCCACCTCTGATCCATGATTACCCTTCATCACCCCCACATCAGGGGTGCGTGGAGGGCCGACCCTGGGATCCAGGAAGACCTCAGACCCTGGAGCCCCCAGGCCCAATTGCCCAGCTGCTTGCCCCCCCGGATTGGATGCTTGGCCCCCAGACTGGGGGAGGCACCCCAATATTTATCTTCCTGATCTTGATTCCAAGCCAGGCTGTGACCTCAATATCGTTATGTCAGTGCAGGCTGAAGTGGTGGGGGAGGATGGGGGCAAAGACCCAGCCTTGTCGTTGGGGGAGGGGGCATGAGATATCCGCTCCAAGAAGTGTCTGTGACAAACTCTCAGCCTGTCTTCTTTATTTGCATCCATGCGCCCCTGGCCACTCATCTTCCTGAACCGCCAAACCAGGCTCCCCGCAACATTCTCTTCCTCATCCTTTAGTCCCAAGCAGACCCTCCAGCTGAGTTTTATGCAGTCACTCAAAAGCGCATTTATTGAACAGCCCTGCTCTAGGCACCGGGGATAAAGCAGTGAAGAACAGACAAAAATCCTTTCCCACAGGACCTTATGAACCTAATAGTGAAGGAGACAATAAGCAAATGAATAACATGTTAGAAATGACACATACTATAAAGAAAAAATAAAGTGGAGATGGGGGTCCAGGCAATTGGAGACCGGTCAGGGAGGCCTCCACGAGGAGCTGAGGGAGTCCTGTGGGTGTCCGCAGGAAGAGTATTCAGGAAAAGCAAAGAGTCAGGGCAAGGCCCTGAGGGAGGGGCCCTGGTAAGTCTGGGGGACATCAAGGGAGCTTGAGCTTCTGCAGGGGAGGAAGCATGGAGGAGGGTACTTAGGAGATGAGGCAGAGAGGTGACGGCAGATCTGGGGGGCCTTGCAAGTCATTGCATGGATTTTGGTGTTCACCCTGAGTGATGGAGCTACAGGAAGGCTCCAAGCATGGGAGGGATGTGACCTGACTCGGGGGTTCACAGGTTCCCTCCAGCTGCCAGTGGGGAACAGACACGGGGGACAGGGTGCAGGGAGACAGAGAGGAGGCTGCTGTGATGGTCTGGGCGAGACAATGGTGCACAGGACCGGCGTGAGAGCAGTAGAGGCAGATACTGGATCTATTTTGAAAGTAGAGCCCACAAATGTAGATATGGGGTTTGATATAAAGAGAGGAGCCAAGGTTACGACTCCGAGGTTTTGGCCTCAGACATTTTTAATGTTTTATTAAGGTCAACAAATGGCCCCCCAGTACCCGGCCTTGGGGTAGGCAGGGCTATAGAGGAACCAGGTTAAGGGCAGGCTCTGCCATCGAGGAAGTTCTGACCTTTGTCCTTCCCTGAGGCTCAATGCCCAGCCCGGTCCCACTCGCAGCAGAATTATCTAGGAATTACTGGAGACCAGGACAGAGTCGGGAAGAGATTAGATCTGGAACAATAATTTTAACAGCAACAAAAACAGTAGCAGTGATAACAGTAGTAACAGGTTAAGTGATTAAAAGCATGGACTTTGGAATTAGATCGGGATTTGCGTCCTGGCCCTACCACGCATTCATTCTGTGACTTATCCACTCTGAACCTCAGTTTTCTCCTCTGTCAAATGAGGATAAGTTACTTAGCCCAGTAGCAAACACAGAATGCTCAATATATGTTAGTTGTTATTCTTGAGTACCCCCTACACGTCTGCTAAGTACCTACATGCACGACTCTAATCCTCATTATTATTCCCATTACACAGATGAGACGCAATCTGGCAGGGACACAGAGGTGGTGAGTGGTGGAGTCAAGCCCTAACCCTCGTCTGCCTGACTCCTCGGGTGCAATCTCTTATTCACGATGGTATATTGCACCTGCTCCCCCTCTCCAAGGCCTGGGGAGGGAAAGGGGTGAGGGCCCAACGCATGCGTTGTGATGGATGAGAAGGAGCGCCGAGCTCTGGTGGGAGGCGGGTGTGAGGGGTGAGCAAGGATTCCTGGGTCCCTGACAGAATTCCAACTCCAAGGAGGAAAGGAGGAAACAAGTTTCTGGGTTTGGAGCGGAGATGGGAGAACAACCCTTGGTCTGGGGTGCTTTAAGGGCAGAGGGCATCCGAGGGCGGCTGAGGAAAATAAAACCGAAGCCGCTTCTCTGCCGCAGCAGTAGCGACACGCGGGATCCAGACGCACGCTCTAGAATTTACAGAGCCACGGGAGTTTCCAGAGCTGTGACCGGCACCCACAGGGCGGCGCTCTAGGTCCCGCCGCCTGGCTCCCTGCACCAATTGGAACGCCGAAGGCCTTCGCCAGAAGAAGCTGATTGGTCGGTTCCGCCGCAGGGGGCGTGTGCGCACGCGGCGGGTGGGGCGGGGCCTCCCGCCGGCCAGCAGGGGGCGCGCGCCCGGCGGAGAGGCGAAGCTTCCATGGAGGGGGCGGAGGCGGAGGCGCGGGAGGGGGCCGCCGTGGCCCGGGACCTGCTGGCCCTGGGGTAAGGGGAGCGGGGCGTGGCCGGGGGTGCAGGTTTGCCACCCTTGCTGACCCCCGCTCCCTCCCGCCGCAGGTACGAGGGCTTCCCGGGGGCGGCGTCGCTGAGCACCTCGTGCCCAGACTTCCGGGCGCTGTGCGCGCGGCTGGCGGCGGAGCTGGCGGCTCTGGGCGCGCTGGAGCGGGAGCCAGAGTGGTGCGCGGGGGCGCTGAGCGGCGGCGACGGTACGC